TGCCCCCACCACTGGCCTGATCACCCTCAACAGCCTTCCCCTCCTGACCTGATTGCCCCTAACCGCCTCTGCCTCGGCCCTGCCACTATGGCTTTGTCTGGGCGGCAGCCACAGAGCCGGCTGGGGCGACCAAGGAAGCCAAGCCTCCCAACCGCTCATCTTTGTCACATCAATTTGCATATTCCCTCCTTATTGGTTGTGGGCGCCGCCATCTTTATTGTAAAGTGATGGTTAATTTGCATATTACTCATTTATTAGATAGGACCAGAGGCCCGGTGCACAAAATTTGTGCGGGGGGGGGGGGGGGGGGGGGGCGCCCCCGCCTGCACCCTCTTGAATCTGGGACTCCTTGGGGGATGTCTGACTGCCAGTTTAGGCCCGATCCCCGGGATTGGGCCTAAACCGACAGTCAGACATCCCTCTCACAACCTGGGACCGCTGGCTCCTAATCGCTCACCTGCCTCCCTGCCTGATCACCTCTAATCACTCTGATGGCCTGGTTGCCCCACAAAGCCTGCTGTTCAGTCGTTTGGTCGTCCCTCATTAACCCCCCTGCCAGCCTGGTCGCCCCATGCAGCCTGCTGCTCAGTCATTTAGTCGTCCTGCACTAACCCCCCTGCCAGCCTGGCCACCCTACTCAGCCTGTATGGTCATCCGTTCGGTTGTTTTGGATGTGACAGCCCCTGGCTCTTTATATATATAGATGGTGTAGCAATTTTCATCCTTTTGATCTGTTTGTTTGTTTTTTATTTTTTCCATTGATTTTTAGAGTGGAAGGGAAGGGGAAAGACAGAGATAGAGAAACATGATGTGAGAGAGACACACTGATTGGTTGTCCCCCACACATGCCCCGACCCGGGTCAGGAATCGAACCTACAACCGAGGTGCATGCCCTTGATCCTTCAGTCTGTGGGCCAACACTCTTACCATAATCCAAACCAGCTGGGGATTATTTGTATTTTTACCTGTAGGCATCATATGGTTAGGTCTTTTTTTTTTTTTTAAATCCAATCTGTTAATCTCTCTTTTAATTGGGGTGTTTAAACCATATACTTTAATATAATTATTGATATGGTTATGTTTAAATCTATTATCTTGGTATTTGTTTTCTATTTGTTCCATCTGTTCCTTATTTCCCTTTTTGTCTTCTTTTGAATTATTTTCTTTTTAAATTGTGTTAAAACATAAGTAACATAAAATGTACCACAGTTCAGTCATCACCACCATCCACTCCCATAACTCTTGTAAATCTGAAACTCTGTTCCCATTAAACACAATTCCCATTCCTTCCTTCTCCCAGTCGCTGGCCACCATCATTGTACTTTCTATCTTTAAGCTTTTGTTTTTTTGTGATGGCTTCTTTCACTTAGCATAATATCCTCAAGGTTCATCCATGTTATGCATATCACAGAAGTTTTTCTTTTATAAGGCTAAATAATATTAAACTATATGTGCATATCACATTTGCTTATCCACTCATCCATTGATGGACAGACACTTCAGTTGCTTCTATGTTTCAGCTACTGTGAACAATTCTATGAACATGGGTATACAAATATCTCTGAGACTCTACTTTCAATTCTTTTGGGTATATATCAAGAAGTGAAACTGCTTAGGTCATAGGGTAATTTTATTTTTAATTTTTTGAGGAAACTACATACAACAGCTGTTCCATTTTACATTCCCATCAACAGTGCACCAGGGCCCCAATTTCTCCATATCCTCACCAACATTACTGTTTCTTAGAGAGTAGCCATTCTAATGGGTGCAAGGTGGTATCTCACTGTAGTTTCGACTTATATTTTCCTAATGATTAGTAAAGTCAAGCATTTTTTCATGTGCTTATTGGCCGTTCATGTATCTTTGGAGAAATGTCTCTTCAAGCCCTTTGTCCATTTTTAAAAATCAGTGTTGGCTCTTTTGTTGTCGAGTCGGAGGAGTTCTTTACATATACTGGCTATTATTCCCTTATCAGTTATATGGTTTGCAAATATTTTCTCTCATCCTCTCGTTGCCTTTGCATTCTGTTGATCGTGTCCTTTGATGCTGTTTTAAATTTTGGTGTAGTCCAATCTATCCCTTTTTTTTTTTTTTTTGCTTGTGCTGTTGGTGTCCTATCCAAGAAATCACTGCCACATCCAACGTCATGTAGCTTTCCCATGTTTTGTTCTAAGAGTCTTACTTATGTTAAGGTCTCTGATCCATTTTGAGTTAACTTTTATATAAGGTAAGGGACCCACTTCATTCCTTTGTATTTGCATATCCAGTTTTCCCAGAACCATTTGTTGAAAAGACTGTTCTTTCTGCGTTGAATAGTTCTGGCCCCATGTCAAAGATTATTTGACCATATATACAAGGGTTTACTTCTGGGCTCTGTATTCTAGTCTACTGGTTCCTCTTTATTCCTGTGCCACAGTTTTGATTACTGTAGCTTTGTAGTAAGTTATTAAATCAGGAAGTGTGAGACCCGCAACTTAATTCTTTTTAAAGACTGTTTTGAAAAAAAAAAAAAGAAAAGAAAGAAAACAAAAAGAGACTGTTTTTCCAATTTGGGATCTCTTGAATTTCCATATGAGTTTTTTAGGATGTATTTATTGCCGCAAAAAAGTCATTTGGTTTTTTATAGGGGTTGCACTGAATCTGTAGATCCCTTTGGCAGTGCTGATGTCTTAACAGTCTTAAGGTTTCCCAGTCTGTGAACACCATATGTCTTTCCTTTCTGTGTCTTCTTTCATTTCTCTCAGCAGTGTCTTTTACTTTTCAGTGTATTTCTTTCACCTCCAGGGTTAAGTTTATACCTAAGTATTTATTCTTTTTGGTGCTATTGTAAATGAAATTTTCTTACTTTCCTTTTGGGATTGTTTGGAGTTAATGTATAACAGGATGTATTTTGAAGGCAGTTCTGAGAACTGATGGGTCAGATGTGGGGTTTAAGAGACAGAAAGGGGCCAAAGATGACACTGGCTTTGCCCGGGGCAGCTCAGGGTACAGAACCGCATTCAGTGACAGGGGACGATGCAGGAAGAGCAGGTTTGGAAGAATTCCGTTTTGGACGTATGACGTTTAAGGTCAAGGATAAGGAGAACTAAGAATTGACCACCCGAGATGGCAAAGAGAGGTCCTGGTGGCCTTGATAAGAGTTGTTCAGTGGAAGGACAGGAAGAAGAGCCTGACTGAAGTGGCCTTCAAGTGGAACAGGTGGTGGTGCCTGGGTATTTTTAAAATCTTACCAAATTTCCTCATCAAACCACACAGAGCAACTTTAAAAGTAAAAGCAAAAGTCCACAGACAGCACCTTCAACAAAACCAGGAGCAAGGGCATTGCCACACCCCAGACGGCAGTGGGGGGGTCCGGGCGCTGCGGGGCGTTCTGCATAGACACAGCATCACAGCTGCGCTGGGGCCAGGGAGGGGAGAGGAAAGGGGTTCTGCCCTGACAGCCCCAAGGGCCCAGAGTTGATTGCTCAGGCTCCGTTACAGATAAGTCAACAGATCAACC